CAGCTCGCGTGTGGTGAGTGTCAGTGTTTGTCGTGGCTGTCTCTGTGGCAATGCAGCCTGTCTGCATTTTTTGGTATTGTTTTTACTGACATATCAAAGAAATTAGTTTTACTTGTGGAACTGGTTATTTGTATTGTTTGGAACTGTACAATTTATTTCATGAGCTTTTAAAAATCCCATGGAAGTGTAAATATTAAATATGGCTGTCCTAACAGTGCCCACCTTTTTAAACTGATTTTTTCCTTTCATTGCATTTTCAAAATATTCTAATCTGTTTCCATGCCCTTTATACAGCAGTGACTTTCCTCTGAGTCTGAAAGATGCTTTACAGATAAAGTTACCATGGGGGGGGGGGCTTGTAACCTGAATCATGACAAAAGATTTTAGTCACTATTCAAGTTGTGCTAATGCTTGTGGAAACACATCCCTTTATTTCAGCTTAAAGTGAAACTTGATGAGCGGTGGGTAACTGTACTTCAGTGACAGATGCTGTGCATGACACAAACTGCCATTGTACATGCAGTGTGTGCAGCAGTCGTCCACTGTTTGTGTCAACTGAACCAAGGCCAACACATCAACATGCTGCTGAATAAGAGCCCAAGTTCTATCCCAGGGGAACCTGTGCTGAATTAAGAGAATTCATGTTTCCTGCACATGTGCTTGTGCATGTGTGCGCCACCTCTCCTCTAACAGGAACCAATTTAGAGTACTGGTTAAAAGGAAAAACCCTGGATGTGTTTATGGAAAAACAGAATACAATCCCAGTGGAAAGAGAATGTTAGCAGTATAGGTGGTTCATGCACAGTCGAGAGGGAAATGAGCTCCCAGTTATTCTATTTGGCCTTGCGAGGTAGTCTTCATTGTCACTAATAATGGCCATCTGCTGGGGGAGATGGCTTCCAGGCTGCTCACACAGACCTCACAGTCCTGTGGTCACCGCCAGCCGTAGCCAGTCAGTACAGTACAAGCAGGAAGAGTGAGGTACAGATACGCTAACCCACTCAGCAAGATAGTTACTCCACAGCTGAATGATGATTTACAACTAAGACAGAATCCATTCATAAGCCATTACCTCATAAATGAAACTGTAATATTTTTTTTGGTTTATGTTACAGGAATCGATATCTATTACTGCATTCGACCAACACCAGCAAGTCTTCTGATGCATGAAAATGCACTTGTGCTTCCTAAAAAGAATCAGGACGAAGAGCCAAGATAACAGCAGAGCTATATGGCTGTGTTGTTCAGGGATGAACACAAAAGTAAAAAAAAAGCTGAAAAACGAGCAGAGTCTTTCATGTCCACAAAACATAAAACATATCCCTGATCTTTTACAGATGTACAAGTGGGTAATTATATGAAAACCTCACAGGCTGCTCATTGTTCAGATTAAAAAAAAAAAAAAAAAAAGGACAGCCCAGTGTTTAAGTGGATCCAGATCAAATACGCATCATGGCTGTCAATGCACACTAAAATATGAGACGGCACAGACATCCTCATCACAGTGGCTCACAATCACTTTTCTAAATTTACTCACACTTGATCAGACATCTTCTCTAAATGCTACAACTGATTATATATAGTTATCAAATTATTAGGTACACCTGACTACTCTATAAACTATACTCTAATGAAATTTATCATGCTCAGTTTCTGTTTGAGAGAGTTCTTAATTCAACTTCTGATTCAGTTTGAGACTGCAGTCTGTAGTGCTCTTGAATTGTATTATGCTAAACAGAAACTTGCTTTAAATGTTTTGCCCACCTTCTTGAATAAAATGGAAAATGCAGCAAATATGGTACTGGAAACTAAAACACTGCATTAGTCCTTACTAGGTGTACCTAATAAACTGGCAACTAAGTGTAGAGTTTCTACAAAGTTTCAACCTTTTCCATAGCCCTGAACTGTTGGGACCAGATATTCATTCACCTCTGTATGTGCAGTCATCAGCTGGTTGGAGAAACCTTGCAAAACATTTATATGTGTTGCATTTGTAACACACATGAACACAACAGGATCATGCCAAGTACCTCATAGTAAAAAGGTAGAAACAATTTTTAGTAGCCAACTTTTGTTATAATACTTTAGCTCAGACACTGAAACATGAAAGTCTTCTGTTTGGAGGCATTTTAGTCCGGAAATGCTGAAACGCAAGACAGCTACTTATATTGTGTGCATCATTACTCATATTTAATATTTTGTTTATTAATGTTGATTGTTTTATTGCAATGAAAGAGCTCTTGTTTCTGAATCAGCAGTTTTGTATCGAAATTGTATCGGCCCATCGCTACGTACAAACATATCAACCATCAATCAGAACCATAAACTATAAAAACGACTGACAGGCCAAGAGCTCCCAAAAGTGAAGCCACTTCGATTCGATCACCCCCTGGTGGCTGGTTGCCGTATAGGTCATAAATCTCACCTCCATGTTAGTGTATGAGGCATGAGTCAGAAAAAAAAAACAAACACAAAGTACAATTCTAATAATTTTTTTCCAGAGGTCGCCTCGATGGTTTCTGGTAGATATGATCACTCTGATTTGTGTATAAGTGGTCATTTTTCTGGTAGGTTTGTTTTTAATTAGTTATTTGATTTTAGTTATAAACCGGGCATATTTCAGATGATTTGACAGCTTTGATACACGGCCTAATACGTCACCCAACCACTATCAGGTGTCAGAATGGCACCTGCTGTATTCCTGATATTTGCTACAGGCTTCATTTCTGCATAGTGGAGGGAAGTGGTGACACTGTGTCCATTAACTAGCCAATATGTTAATGATTGGGACAAATGACTGACAGAGGTAAAATCACACATGGTTACTGCTGTACAAGGTTTTAATAACGTACCTTGTAACAGCATTTAACCACATCTGCTTGGGCCATGTTCACCAAGGTTTGTATAACTCTACATAGGTGTGGGTGTAATGAAACTTCATTTTCCAAGGCTGCTGTTGTTATATTGGAACATTTTAAATTCACCACAATGCTGCTCATGAACACATTATGGACTCTAATAATAAACCTGAACAGGTCTGTGTATTGAAAGAGAGACAAAGAAAGATTTGTTTCATTTTACTGAGCTGGTTTGTAAAGTGTGAATGCATTAATGATGTGTACACACATATTCACAATTGTTTACAACTCGAAAGAAACTTTACTTGAAGCTTGCAGCTCTTTGTTGGGACAAAGTCATTTCAATGAAACATTCTCATTCTGTGGACAGATGAATGCTAAGTGTGTGTGTGTGTGTGTGTGTGTGTGTGATGGCTGCTGTGATGTTCATTAGTGCTAATGGGCCCTGTGGATCAGCTCCAATAGTGAACTAATGGACAGAATTGGCTGTGGTATATTGACATGCTGCTTGACTATTAGCATTTTCTTCACACACAAATGTGGTATTAAGACAGAGAGAATACCTTGCTGCAGAGTGCCTTGCAGTTTAACAATTTGCTGAATGCTTTTAATAGAAACTCCTTACATTACTGTGGTTTCAGCCCAAGTTGCCCCTGTGAGATATACCAATTACATCACACAGGGAGTGGAGGCTTGAACTATGAAAACAAAGAGCTATTCAGTTTAAAAAAAAAAAAAAAAAAAAAAAAATACCAGTTTGCTGGTAGCAGCTCTGTGAGACCCCCGAGTCCTGTAGGCAGGCTCATATGCTCACAATGATCATGTTAGAGTTAACCATGGGTACATCCCAGATCTCTTATAAGCACAGCTGTTCCCTCATGTGTTGCCTCATGTGCGTCTTTGCTTGTGTCTTAGTCCTGTCCACATAGAAAAACATTAGAAAAACATTATTAACAACATGAGATGTCCTTTCCTAAGATTCTTCATCTGGAGTGTCCAATCACCAACTGATTTATGATAAAGGGGTATGTCAGTTCACATAAAACTGGTCTCGTGTTTCCTCGGCCATGGCTCCTCCAGCACTTTAGTCGGTCCTCTCTCCTTGGTCCTCAGTCAATATATTTGGAACGGCCTACATCTTTGGTTGTCCTAAACAGCTTCTGGTTAGACTGAGGACGTAGGAAAAGTCTTATAAAAGACATGAGATATATCCCATGTTCACCAACACAATTCAGCATGTTAGCACACTAACATATGCTAATTAGCACTAATCAAAGTACTGTATGAATGAGGCTGATGGGAATTTTATTTTTCCAACTAAACCAAAGTATTGGACAAATTAAAGTTTGAATGTTATGATAGCACTAGATGGCTCGAGTTGGGGCACATTTATGATCATCAAGACATTGTTTATCTCTCTATGTAGCATAGTAGCTTCACCCTGTTTGGTTCTGGCTACTAGCTAAAAGAGCTCTGCTGCATTTACTGTATATTCATCAAGGAACTCAAAAGTACTATGCCCCCACTGATTGATTTATAAACAAGGAGTAGCACTTTAAAATATATTCTGTAGGTAACTGGTAGCCAGTGTAAGGATTTAAGATCAGGAGCAATGCACTCATTTCTCCTGGTTCTTGTTAAAACTCTGGCAGCAGTGTTTTGAATGAGCTGAAGTTGTCAAAACACTGTCTCTTTCAGAAGACCAGACGAGATACTGTTACAATTTCTCACCCTGCTGGAAATGAAGCCATGGATGAATTTCTCTTCTTGCCTGGACATGAGACCTCTGAGTCTCGCTATTTGTTTGAGATGATAAAATGCTGGTTTAGTCATGGCCTTGGTGTGGCCGCTGAAGCTCTGATCTGAGTCGTTTAAGATACCAAGACTTCTTGAATTTTCATTTTTATAGCTCTGGAATCAAGCTGAGCAAGAACGTCTTGTTGCCAAATAAAAGGATTTGTCTCTCATCTTTATTTAATTGAGGGAACTTTAATGACTATACATCTAGCTAATTACTTTGTCTAAGCACTGATAAGAACGAGGCCAGGGGAAC